CAGCAGCAAACTCTAAAGCCTACAGACAGGACAGGAAACAATGTATGTACACTGAAGGGAGGTCCAGAGCTACCTCCCTGCCTCAAACATTTCTTGTTACTTATTTTCTTTCCTCCATCTTTCCAACCGTTATTTCAAATATACTCACTGATGCCTACAGACTGTGCCATGATCTGTGCTTGGTGCTGGAAATGCTAAGAGAAGGAATCACTAACACAGAAAATGTGGGAACTAGAACAAAGACAGGCAAGAGGGTGTGGTGGAAGGAACCTGGGTGGTGGAGTCAGGAGGAATCTACTTCCAGGCTTGATGGCAATCTGAAGCTCCATTCCCCATCTGAAAAATGGACAGTTGGGGCAGTCATGGGGGAATTAAGGATATGAAGCAACTTGAAAGTGATCCAAGCTCTTCCTCTTCAATCAAAAAGACTAGGAGATGGGAGACTTGGCTGTGGCCAGACACCCTCATTGTCTCATCATCTTACTTTCTGATCCTTGAAGACCCCTTTGCTACCATTCAACTATCCCTGAAGAGTCACACAAGTGCCCTGGGCTAGGGCCACAGTCCCCTGCAGAAGGCAGATGGAGAGGCACAGGCTACTCCTAGCCTAAGACTGGGCTCAGCAAGTGGCCCCTTCCCTTTCCCTCTAGACAGAAGGAGACGACAAAGCTCAAGAGGCTCCCTAGCCAGCTGCAATTTGATTTTTTTCCAGCAGGAAAGGAAACAAAGACCAAGGAGTTATCTCAAGTGCAGGGAGCCAGGAGAAGGGTCTTCAGACACAGTTGCCATCTTTGCCTCTCAGGCCAGGACTTGACCCCTGATCACAGAGCTGGGTGGGGACTGAGTGGTCCAACAGGAGCCCTTCCACAAGCTGCTCCTGGATGGTAGGATCCTCCTCAGCAAGGAGGAGACCACAGGTGAGAGGCAGAGGACAGCTTACTCTAACAGCCTGAGGAGCAGGCACTCTGTGGGCTCATTTAGGTGACACTACACTCCTGGCAGGGAGGGGATAACACATTCAGTGTATGGAAGGGCAACTGAGGCTCAGGGAAGTGAAGTGACTTGCTCAAAGTCACAAGTTAGCTGGGAGGAGAGCAGAAAGGAACAGTTTAAGTCTGACAGCTTTCCTATTCTAACACGACACTATATTGTGACTCTGCAGCGATCTGAGTCCCATGATTGCACCACTGGTCCAGGGTGGGAAGCCACCCTGCACAGAAAAGACCCTCGAAAGACCATACATCAGGGACTGCAGGTGAGTCTGAGGGGCTGGCAGTTAATAGTGGGTTGCCCTCACACTCTGCTGGGGATCTTCACCCTGTAGGCCTTTTGCCCTTGGCTTCCTGCTTGTCTTAGATGCTGCCCTGCATGTGCCTCAGGGGCCCTCCACATGCCACCTGTTTCTCCCTCATCTTAGCTATGAAGGCCTTAAGCGTTCTCAGATCCTTTGACCCAGTAGATCCACATCAGGGAGGGAATCTGCCCATGAAAATGGTTCAGACCACACATGAAGATTTATTTAAAGATATTCACTACAGTGTGATTTAAAATTGTACACTGGTACCCCAAATCAAAAAGACCAGGATTAGGATAATGTGGTGGGCTTTGGCACAGATTTCAGATCACAGGCATTTGGTAACAATTGAGTGAGGCCCAGATATGTACCTTTTCAAAAGTCCCCCAGGTGACTCGGACCCATAGCTGGGCTGAAAACCACAGGAGTCACTTGCTGGGACACGTGCAGCCATTATCAATGTTTAAGAAGAAATTTTGTAAGATGTGAAAAATTCTTACAAACACTAGAAGGCAAAAACAAACGAATGACTGGGATACTGGATTGCTTTGTCAGGAATATCTCAACTGTCTGAAAGAAAGACAAAACCCCCACAACTCAAATCCCAACCCCCAAATGAAATGAGCTGAAAGCAAACTGAAGATTCTAGAAGCAGGGTGGAAGCATGGGAACACTGTATTTTAGCTCCAGATGAAGGGCTTGGGTGTTTCCTATTACTCTTTTTTTTTCTTCTTTCTGTCTCTCTCTCTCTCTCTCTTTGTGGTACTGGGGACTAAACCCAGGGTCTCACACATGCTAGGCAGGTGTTTCCTATTTCTATTCCTCTGTCATTTTAAACATTTTTACCAGGAGCAGGTGCTAGTGTGTGGGAGTGTGTGTGTGCTAGGTATCAAACCCAGGGTCTCTGCATGGTAGGAGAGTGCTCTACCACTGAGCTACACCCCCACCACAACAGGTGTTATTTTTTATAACCAGAGAAACAACTAGCCGACTAGTAGCCCTGGGAAGGCCTCCCTGTCCCTTTGGCACTGTATTGCCTGTCACCTCAACAGACTCTCCCAAGACACCGTTCTTGGTCACATACCTACTACCCCTCTTTCCTTCTCAGGCTCACATGGGCTCTGCAATCATTTTAATTAATCCCCAAAACAATCTTGTAAGAGAAATGTTGTTATCCCATTTTTCAGATGAGGAAAATTTGTTAAAATTAAACTTATGGCTTGAAAACCATCTAAGTACACATGGTAATTCCCTTTGGGTTCAATGTTTGGTTAAAAATTTCAGGCCTTCTGGCTTCCCTCTTGGCTTAATAGAAGAAAGCCATTTTAATACACAGAAATGGGACTGAAAATGTGACAAATCTGCTGCACTTCATTGATTCTAAGGAAATTTCTTCCCATTGTAACATCTCTGGAATCTGGATTTGTCTTATAATTGATGATGTCTTTCAACTGTTCCTCTTCTTAAGATAATGGTATATTCTATGATTGAAAGGCAGCTCAGATTCAAGGAAAAGTACGATGTCTACAATCACCTTCAGAACAATGCTCTTAATGACTATGCTACTACTATGAACACGTGGCAGTGAGCTTTTCCTTTTGCTACCAAGGGCATCCTCCTCCCAGGTGCCATATCTTGGGAGACATCTTGACATTTCTTGACCTTCCTCCACCACATTTTATCTACTACTGGGACTGGTAATCTCTCCCTTCATGGTACCTTTTCCTGGTGTAACCAAGTGAAGACCTCCTCTGAGTTCCTATAATATTCCTCTAATATGTGCCTCTCATTTTCTTTTAGTCTATCACCATCATCATACTATTCAAACTTTATACTAGTCATGTCACATCTCTGCTTAAAACCTTACACTCCTCACAGGGTACAGTTCACACTCTGAGCCTGGCAACCAAGGCTCTGCCAAATCTGGCTCCAACCTCTCCTGTAGCCCATCTCCCCACGCAAACCCATCACTCCAACAAAACAATTGAGCCATTGCCACAGTTTCAGTTCAGGTTTAATCTTTCCTATGAATATTTTAGATTTGTTTGATCCTTACACCAGGAGGTATGGAAAGGGTAAGTAAGGTAGTTTCATCATCATTCCACAGATGAAGAATTTAAACTATAAACAAATTAAATGGTGTGCTCAAGTATTAAACAGCCAAGAAGGGTAGAACCAGGCTTTAGACTCCTGGGCTTTTGCCTTTAAATCCAGTGCCTCTCAGAGCCAAATGCAGCCAATCACAAAGTCTTCCTGTGGAGTAGCATGTGTCTAGATCACACCCAACAACATGCACCAAGATTCAACAGCCTCTGGATTCCAGACACACAACAAAGAGGCAATCTCAGGAATGAATAATTCTAGTGTGTTGGTTCCCAGCAACCCAAGGAAAGGACTAGGCCAGCTGTCCTGTTCTCCATCTAGAGAGGGGAAGAGTACAGTATTCTCAACAAGCACCAAACCTGAATGGCATAGTGGATCCAGGATTGTGACCAAGAATCGGAGCCACCTCACTTTAAGACAAGTGGGTATGGGAACTTTCTTTAAGCTAAAGAACTTTAGAGGGAAGTATTTCTCAGGCAGCAAAAAAGAGGGTGCATTCCTTCTGCTTTGTGACCATGACATCGCCTGAAGTGGAGGCAGCATAGGAAGTAAAGCTTCAGTGCTGGGAGGAGAACGAGGAGGGCAGTGGTGTGAGGATGCTGCTCCTGAGTGCCCACCACCCTAGCCACTTCATAAGAGATGCCCTGGGTGAAGGAAAAGCAAAGTGTTTGCTATTACTCTTTGTGTTTCACTTAGACACATGATGGAGTGAGGGCCGTAAAGATATAAACATGAGAAATGGTGGCTTATGAGGAGGTGGGATTCTGGTTCACTCTCGGGATTTTTACCTGAAGTATACTACATGACAACCACTCATCTTCTGGCATTTAATTTCATTAAATACTATGGGTTAAAACAAAACCAGAAATAAACAGTGCTGGCGTATAGTGTTACCTAAATGGGTCTCTTGCACCCCACTCCAACTGGGAGTGTACTCCTTGGCCAGGAGGCCAAAGTCAGCAGAATAGAGAGCTGTCAGGCAAGAGCTTCTTGTCTGAAGTCAGGAGAAGTGGAACTGCCTTTGGCTTAAGGCAAGACTCAACGTCTTCACATCCTCAAACAACTCCAGCTCATGTGGCCGTCAGGATACGTGGAATAGTTGACAGAGGCTCAGAAAGGTGGAAGAGCCATATAGTTGGGCAACATTATCTCTGGCCCTTGCTATGCTTTGTGGTCATTTAAATCATGACCACCACACATGGGAGCCACCAAGAATCTCCAGGATTTTTTGCTTTCTTAAGAGGAGGAGAGGTCCCTTAAATGGATAAGAAATAGTGAGGCCCAGGGCAAAACCAGGGGCTTTCTGGTAAATTATTTTTCATTTGGAAAGCAGAGCTGATTGCTGCTGCCTCACAGATGTCCATATGAGCAGGCAAGTGCGAAAGGCTTCGTGCTATGTCCAACACCAAGTCGGTGCTTACTGTGTGTGTGTGGAGGGTCCTCGCATTCTTCCCTTGCATATGAGGGGAGGAAGCCCCCACCGTCTCCCATGATCTCCTTTAGATGAGTTCAAAAACCAGAACCACAATTGCATGTGGTCCCTTGGTAGGCATCTTAGTCTTGATTAAACATGGACTCTATCATGTGCCATGAGGCTACTCACCGGCTCAATTTTCAGGGCATTCCGGTAGCTACCAAAGAAAGCGGCCTGGGCCTTAAGGAAGGCTCTGGCTACCCCATCGCCTGTGGTTGTGGAGACCTTCTTTAGCCTGTTCTTCAGTGAGGAGATCTGGTAAGGGAGAGAAAGGAAACAGGTTGAGGGAAGGTTGCAGGAGGATAGCTGACTAAGCCCAGAGCCCACGGAGCTCTAGAAAATTTCTAGAAGGGGTTAATTTGACCTTTTTGCAGAAAAAAGAATCACTCAGTATCAGGAAAGTTTCTATTGGAGTATGTATTTGTTTATTTACTGTGGCGCTAGGGAGAAAAACGATGCACTCAGTATCAGGGAAGTTTCTATTGGAGTATGAATTTGTTTTATTTACTGTGGTGCTAGGGATCAAACCCAGGGCTTCCCACACGCTAGGCAAATACTCTACCACTGAGCCACACTCCAAGGGCAGGTATTTTTGTTTTGGTACTGGAAATTGAACTGAGGAGTGCTTTACCACTGACCTACATCCCCAGTCCCTTTCATTTTTTTTAATTTGAGACAGGGTCTTGCTGAGCCTGGCCTTGAACTTGTGATCCTCCTGCCCTTACAGGCCTGGGATTATAGCTGTGATTACAAACCTGCACCACCGTGACCAGAAAAGTTTTTCAAATTTAAGCGAATATCGCTCTTATTAGAGCATGTCTAATAAAAGCAAAAATAAAATTATTTTTAAAGCAATTATGTGTCAGGGAAGTACTTTCACATAAATTTCCTAATTTTTCTTCTGACAATCTTGTGAGGAAGGAATTAGTGTTCCTGTTCTGTAAGAATGAAACAGTTTCCGAGAACTTAGGTTACATGTCTAGAGAAAAAATCCAAGGAATGGCCAAATTGGAATTTGAACCAAAGTCTTATAATCTAAATCCAAGCTACACAAAGAGTTTTTCTTTTTGTTGTTCTAATTCCATTCCATCTGTGATATTAAAAATATTAGGAAAAAGGTTTATTTGTATATCTCACACCTCATACTCTGAAAGAATAGTGACAGCTTATAGAAACACACTCAACAAGTTAAAACAAAATACAAAAGAAGGTGACATTAATGGGAAAAGAAGAAGCTGTGACTAGATGTAGTTTGTGAATGTAAGCTATACGATAGTCTTATATGGTGGTTAGATGTGAGTTTCAAATTTGACTTAAGAACTTTCTCGTGACCAAAGCTAAGAGAAAAACATGAAAGTTGAGAGATTCCCTGGGTCCATGCATTATAAACAAATCGGTGGATTAAATGAATAAAGATTTTCCTGAATGTGGGACCTAAAAGAGACTTTCCCCATGAATCTATGTAGGAAAGATCATGTGACATGGTTGCTGTTGCCTTCAACATCAGGGCCAACATCAAGCTTCTGAGACTATTTCTAAAATGCTCTTCATTCATCTCAGGATGCCACATTGCATAAGCTTCAGGGCACACCACTCACGTTCCATCACATTCCTGGTATTGTGCAATGCGGTGACCTTGAGTCATTCATTCATTCAATAAATATTTATTATCTCTTACATGCCCTGGACTATATTAGGGGTTGTGGCTATAATGGTGACTAAAACCAGATATGGTCCTTAACCTCATTTTAGCTAACATTCTCCTAAGGAAAATACCCATACATGTGACATTGTTCCTGTGACAAATCTGTAACAGAGCTTGCCAAAGTAGACCAAGAGAAACCTCCTGGAGGGAGACAGGCTTGAACTGAGATCTGGAAGATAAGCTAAAGGAGTTAACTAAGCAAAGAGGGGAGGATACAGTGTGCTATGCACGGGAAATAATGTGCAAAGGACCTGTGGTAGGAAGGAATTCAGAAAATAGAAAGAACTTTGGCTTCAGTATAGAGACCAAGGGTGAAGATGGGGCAAGACGACGTTGGAGTTGGACATGGTAGTACATGCTTATAATCCATACAATGGGAAGGCTGAGACAGGAAGATCATAACTTTGAGAGAGGCCAGCCTCAGTGAGTTAGTATGACCCTGCCTCAAAATAAAAAAATTAAAAAGGACTGGCATTATAGTCTAGTGGTAGGGTACTCCTGGATTCAATTCCCAATACCGCATGAAAAAAATGATGCTAATAGAAAGGCAGAGGTCAGAAGGGACTTTTCCTTTGTCTGCAGGGAAACAGCTAGTGATTATTCTTAAGCTTGTAGATGAAACAGTAAGAGTACATTTCAACAAATCAAGGACATTTCAGAGAAACTGATACCTAGTGGTGTGAACATTACTTAAGGATAAAACTTAGGATAAAATTTAAGAGAAAACAGAAATTAGATTTGGGGGGTTCATGGATCATCTACAAATGTGTATTATGAATGGGTGATTTTCTGGGCACAAAATCCATAGCTTTCCTTACAGTCCCAACAGTGTCTGCAAATCTAAGAACTACTGATCTGGGATGGACTGTGTGCACTTGAGAAATGATCCACGGACACTAAGCCTTATTGTTAAGCTTTTATAAGGGAATTTAAAAATGGCTTGTGAGACAGCCCACTATCATTCATTATTTTAAGGTGTAGCTAAGTGGCTTTTATTATAATTACAATGTCATACAACTATCACTATTATATACCTCCAGAACATTTTTATTACCCCAAAAAGAAACCCTGTGTTCATTAGCTGTCATTCATTCCCCACCAGTTCTACCCCACCACTGTCCTGGGCAACCATTAATCTACCTTCCATCTCTATGGACTTTCCCATTCTGGACACATAAAGGAATAATAAAATAGGTTGTCTTCTTTGACTGCATAACTTCACTTAGCATAATGCTCATTATGTACAAGGTTCATCTATGCTGTAGCCCGAGTCAGTACTTCATTCCTTTTATGGCTGAGTAATGTTCCATTATCTGGGTATAGCATATCTGATCTGTTTATCAGTTTCCATTTTTTGACAATTAATAAATAATGTTGTGGTGAGGATTCATGTACAAGCTTTTGTGTGGAGATACTTGAGATTTTGAGGCAAGAACCTAAATAGCAAAAATCCTATTGCCAGACTTTACGTGACAAACTGAAAGGACACATGAAGTCAGAAAGCACAGAATTGGCACCTAGCAAGCCACTAGTGCAGGTTAACTGAGTACAGGGCAAGCCCCTTTGTTGTTGCCCATGAGACATGCCACAGGGCTGGGAAAGCACACCACAGGGGTGGCTGCCCCTCCTCTGAATGAACGTAAGCCTTGGAAAACAGTTTTCCTCTGAAAGCAGCTTGGAGTCTACCTCAACATCTGGGTATATACAACTGCTTTATTGTGACCTCCCCTTTCTAGGACCCATGAGCCCATCACCACAGTGAGCGATGCAGGCTGCTCAGCAGCCAGGCAGGCTCTGCTGTGGACTTTCAACTTGAAACAGAAATATGAAAAAGAAATGTGCTTTATTAAAATGTTAAAAATATTACCCATCCTACCCCCCAATAATAAAAATCCTGCCTCTCTCAGAGACTAGGGTGACATTTCCATCCTTTGAAATGGTGCAAGCCACTGTCACTCTTCTACTGCTCCTCAAAGGCCTTGGGCCACCTGTGCCGCAGATTATTCCTCACTTAACCTTCCCTGGCCTTTCTCTTTCATTCGGGAGGTGTTTAATTACCTTGGATTCACAAGCTGCACTTCAGGTGAGCCTCTCCTAATGGCCTCATTACCATTTTACACAAAGAAGGAGTCGCTGATTGTAACTGAGCAAATATGAGAGCGCTCCTTCCCGCCTGCCTCCGCTGGTCTGAAACTAGCCAAGTGGTCCCGGGCTCCTGATGCCCCTGTTGCCCCTGTGACCACCTAGGCCAAGGCTTCTGAAGCCCTCCCTCAGCCTGCAACACAGAGGAGCTTTTGTCTTGACCTGTCATCACTTCCAACTTTGAAACTGCAAGTCTATGTGCATCTAATAGCTGCTGATAGCATTTTGTCCTTTAAATAAAAGCGAGGGAAGAAAATGTAAAGCTGAAATAAACCACCATCCTACATCTAAAGTTGAACTTGCCCTGTGAACTCCTGGGGGTGCTGGTCCAATCATTACATTGAGATTCATCAGGGGTAACACGGCGGGGGGGGGTGTTGAAGTGCCATTGAGGACAGCTTCCTCCTTTAATCGGGTACCACAGGAGGAAGACAGAAAACAAAGGGAAGAGCACACAAAATTTAATGTACCAGCTCCTCTCTACAGCTCCCCTAATCCTCCTCCTGTGCCCCATTTTGGGCACTGTCACATCACCCCACCAGACTCCTGGACTGAAGTCAGATTCTGTACTTTTCCATCCTTCCCACAAACATTTTCATGTTTCATCAACACCATCCCAGATACAGCCTGACTCTGCCTTCTCTCAGTGCCCATGGCTGTGCCCCTGAGAGGCACAATGCATCCATCCTTTTTGGACCAGACTGGTTATATAGCTCTCATAGCAGGCTCTGTTTTCAGTATTTACTTGACACCATCTATCTGTAGCTCTCCTAGTAATCTTGGAAATATCCAAGTTTAATCACTTCAATTCTCCATCAAACCCTTCAATGCCTCCACCCTTTGCCATCATCACCTTCAAAAATATACCCAGACTTCCCAGCAGTCAGTGCAGGCTTTCCTTGGCTAACTGGCTCTCACTTTCCCTACGCGGCACACACTTGCCCAACACAGCAGTGCATGAGCCACTCCAACAGCCCACTTGCCAATACCTCAGGCGGGGTTCTCTTGACTCTTTGTGTCCTGCTTGTGGACTGCCATTCACTCTTTGAAAAGACTGTCCAGTGCCTGTCATGGAGGCACATTAAATAACTAAACTACATTCTTCTGATAAAATGCCAAAAAGCTGCTAGTGGCAGTACTCTATGAACTGATGTGAAAAGATGCCCACAAAGTAGCCAAATGCGGAAAAATGAAAGTTGTAGAGTAATACGTATACATGAATCATTTTAAAAATCATATGTAAATATATATGTATGTAGTAAAAATCTAAAATGCCATGTATCAAAATTTAACCATGCAACGACACTTTCACTTTCTACTTTATACACGTGATTGTTTTGATTATACTTTATAAAAAAGCATATGTTACTTTTATAATAAAGAATTAAAACGAGGTATTTTTCTTTAA